AATCGGGTCTAGGGGTCAGGTGTAACTTTCCAGTTTTGCCCATCAATCTCCAAGGTCCAGGGCAATACTGGAAATCTGGTCCGGTTCAAGGGTTCAAGTAATCCTACACTGCATGTGCCTTGGGTCTCACCCTGGCGGCTGAGACAAGCCACCCCAACAATTGGCAGCACACCAGTGTTAGCCTTGGCAGGATAAATCTCCCCAGACTTATCCAACGGTTGTGAACATTTAAAACCAACACAAGTCTAGTGTCCAGTTTTAGGGTCTTACACATAGAAGTATACCACACAACATGAATCAAACATGTACTTCATTTATTTACATTAAATAACAAAAGTACATCAAAACTGATTGAAGCTAAGGTAATACAAAAACTGTCCAACAGCCACTGTGCAAAGCCTAAGGTTAGGTTTAAATCTAGTCAACCCTTCCAATAATTGGGTAATGGCCCATATAATGTACATAAGCTATACACCTATATCCAAGTCTTATGTAAAAGCACCAAAGCAAGGCACAAGGCAATCCCAAAAAATTACCTTACTGCCTAGTTGATGTATTGACAACTTCATAATGGTCAATGCTCACCCCATATAATGCCCCACTTCTATTAATCATCACTTCACATGTGACCCCTTTGTTTTTGAACACCTTCCTGCCTTTTCTTTCCATATACTTCAACAAACCATAGGAGGAATCATTACCCATGGGATCTTCCCTGTATGTAAAGAAGTTTGAATGTGCTTGCACTAAAGGCTACATTAAACATGGAACTCCATCCCATGGAGAGGATTAAGAAAGCCTCTAGATTATCCTAAAACATTTTGGTTATTTGCACTCTGTATCCACTCTGGACAAGACATTAATAGTGATCTTTCTTAGGTGCATGTGGAAAGGATATTCAGTGTCCTGTTTTTGTTCATTTCTTGGCATGGTAGATCATTGACTCTTTATCAGCAAGTAGAAAGATTATGAATGTTTTCTTGCAACTGATTTTTTACTCATATGCAGAATCAACCACCACAAAGGTGACTGTCTCTGTGCTGTCTGTGTTGTAAGGCGGCGTAGGCAGGAGCGTGAAGGAAATGGTCAAATGGTTGAGAATCAGACTGGAGTGACTGATGGTGATCTCTCTCAAGAGTTCAAGCAAGAGGTATTTCTAATTCTACTTGTAGTATGCTCACTTTCTTGGTTAAAAATACTTCTGGGTTATTCTCTTGCCTATAAATATTTGTGGTTCTTTTTTTAAATAACTTTCATTCTTTTAAACCATAAGTACATGGAGATGAAAAGGAGGTTAGAGAATCTAATGCAATGTTGCTAACCAGTGTAGTTGATAGCGGATGTATGTAAGTTTAAGATTTAGAGTTCAATGAAAAAGAAAAACAAAATTAATGTTGGGGAATTGACAATGAAAAACTGGAGATGAAGGGATTGTAAACTAGTGATGGGTAGGAGGTTATCAAGTAGATATCTTTGGGTGGGGAACTGCATGGTGGAAGAGGGAATCTTGTTCAACTATGCCATGGAGTTAGAACATAGCTTACAACAAGAAAATGCCATTTATGTCACCACTTACTCTGCAATTTGAGTTTTCTAATTTGGATTTCACTCACCATTTTCCATTTAAAATGATATTACATAGATAGATATAACACATAAATTACACTGTGCAACCTGGTGAAAAAGTTTTGACAGTGTCATACTTATCATGAACCTGTCCATATCTATATCTATCTATCTATCTATATACCCATTAGTAGAAAAACAAATTTGGTAGAATTCTCACATAACATAGTTCACCCAATTAGACTAGTTACTGGGTTTCTAGTATTTTGGGTAGCCCCCATTGAGGATGTCTTGTAGACATTCGCTTAATCTGCTAGGGGCGAAAATAACCTATAAATTTCTAACTTAGAAGTGTAAATGAACAGAGTAGACTAAATAGATTTTAACTGCAGAAATTTTTATTGAGAATTCCGGTATACATTCCCTCCTTAGCTTGAGAGAAACTAGAAGAAATAAAAAATAGATAACATTTTTTTAATAGCAATCAAGTAGGGACCATAGTCAGTAAAGTTTCATGAACAAGGCTATAGATCGTCTTTCTCCCTACATAAAATCAAGATTTATAGTAATTTTATGAATTAGTATGGTGTTGGGAATTATAATCAATCAAATTCCATGAATAAGGCTATAAATGGTTTTTCTCCTTCACAAAGTGACAATTTTATGAGTTAATGTTGGTCAAGGGATCCATAATCAACCATATTCATGAACAAGGGCATATATGGTTTTTTCTCCCTTCACAAAGTGACAATTTTATGAGATAATATTCGTGTAGGTAACCATAATTAGCTGAGTTTAATGAACAAGGCAAATTCCATAATATCACAATGTATTGGTGTGTATCATACAATACGCATCTGTTTTTGAACCCATTGAAATGCCAAATATTAGGATTGAGGAGGAAAGGCCATTTTCAATTGTTAATACCCTTCCTAGAGATAGCCTGGTTCAATTTTTGAAACCTGAAACAATTTGTAACCATGGGAATTGCCACTTTGAATCACATGATTTTTGTGTATCATGCATGTTATAATACTTTGAAGGAACAAGGTTGTACAGTTTTCTTCCTGATACAGGATTTAGTTTGTGTAGTGAATCATAATCAACCAGGTTTAATGAACAAGATAGTAGATGGCTGTCTCTCTTACATATGATTAGAGAAAAATGAAAAATAGAGAGGAAAGGTGACAGAAATAGAAGGAAAAACATGGTTCTGCTTGAGGGGGTGGTAAGGATATCATGGTGAAGAGATGGAGGATCATACGGGATAAGTGTATTAAAGGAATATGAAATTTAATCAGGACTTCAGAAGTTTAGTTAAACTTAAAGGGGGGGGCGGGCTTAGGATAAGGTTTTGGGAAGATGAGTGGCTTGGGGTTTGAAAACTGTGTGAGGTGTGTCTCAGGCTTTATAAGCTGACAGACCAGCAAATAACCATTGATCAGTGCTATGAGTGGAGAAGGGAGCAAGTGATTTGGAACCCAAAATTCAGAAGACTTTTGTTGGACCAAGAAGTGGAAGAGTGTATTCTGCTACTGGAAAAGTTACAAGATACAAATATATCCAGAGCTACAGCAGATGATTATGGTGGAAAGAATGCAGAGATGGAAGATTTTCTGTAAAATCTTTCTACAATGCTTTGATGAGAGATAGCAGGGAGTCAGACCAGATTAAAGGTATATGGGGAAACCCAGTGCCCCCAAAGGTAGAAGCTTTTGCTTGGTTGGTGGCGCATGACAGATTCCTAACATTAGATCACTTGAAATCCAGAGGCATACAGTTACCAAGCTGCTGCTACATGTGCAATCAGGAGGAAGAAACAGTTCATCTCTTCCTTTCATGTAGTGTGGCAGATTTCATCTGGAAGTTCTTCCCTTTCCTGTTTGGAGAGAATGTATTTCTCCCTTCAGTTTCAGTTCCAGCAGAGATTTTTTCCAAATGGCTGAAAATCAGAGGAAGTAAGAAAGCAAAAATCCTATGGAGTTGCATCCCATTCGCAGTATGATGGTCCATTTGGAAAGAAAGAAACAGAAGGGTGTTTGAGGATAAGAATAAAAGCATCGAGTGTTTGATAGCAGGGGTGGGTAATCTGATTTCAGCTTGGGTTCTCAGCCTTCCAGAATTTGACCAAGTGAACAAATCTGATCTATTAGAGAATTTCTGGGGCACCTTTGGATCTGAATCCTTGTAGTTTTGATTCCTTTTCAGTTTGAGTTGATCTGTATTTGGTTTGTCAACTTGACAACCATCATGTTGAGATGTACTTTTTCTTTTTATTTTAATAAAATTTCCTTTTATCCTTCTAAAACAAAAAAGAGAGATGGAGGATCATTCTCTCCCACCTCCACAGGGTCAGCCTAGGCTTCTTCCTTCTTAGTTCTCCATTCCAAACTCTTCTTTCTCTTCTTATTTATCTCTTGTGTTACTGGAAATTTTGTCAATAGAGTGGTATTAGTCCCCTTTTCCTTGTGTGAGAGGGACTTTTATAGAAAATGGAAGTGGTTAGATAACTCCCCACCCCTTCTCCTTGTATGCCATGTTTCACCCCACTTAAAAAGACTTGAGGAGTCTGTCCCATATGAAAAGACAAGTGGCATCTTATTAAAATAAGTGGGACACCTCATAAATTAGAGGATGTGGGGTTGGTGGGCTTCTCATAATTTACATGTATCTGACCTTTTTAGAGACTGCTACCCACTTGAATGGGCTCTACTGCAGGTCCATTTTAATTAAAAATTTAATGGACTAGGACTCAACCTGCTTTTGAATTGGTTTAGGGCTTGCTGCCTGCTTATGTGGGCTCTACTGCAGGTGCATCTTCTTTAGTTAAACTATTTCAGCCCTGCTTCTCATAGAAGAGATGTCAAGAATATCATGGTGTAGAAATGACCATTTCTGCTCCTACCTTCACAAGGTCAGTTCAGCTTAGGTTTCTTCCTTTTATTTGGTAGTTCTCTATTTATTCTTCTTTTTCCTCTTGTTTGTCTTGTGTTGTTGGAAATTTTGTCAATGAATGGTATCCCTTCTTGCAAAAGAGGGGCTTTTATAGAAAATGGAAGCAGTTAGATTACCTCTCACCAGCCTACCATGGGTGCCAAGTGTCACCCCACTTAAATGAGAGATAAGGAGTCGTCTCCTTATGAAAAGACAAATGGCATACCCTTAAAGAGGTGGGGCACCTCATAAATGAGAGAAGGTGAGACTGGACTTTAGATGTCTAGATGAGCCTCTCTTAAAAGAGACTGGACTTTAGATGTCACCAATCATGAATTCAATTGACTAACATTGGTCCAATGGTGCTTGTTGTTTGCTAATGACAGTATTGATTAATGAAACTAATGAAGGATTAAATGCAAAATTAGATAATATGGACAAATAGCTTAGAAACAAAAAGTTTAAAATAAGTAGGATTAAAATAGAATATATGCAATGTAAATTCAATAATTATAGGAATGCAAATTAGTGCACACTTAGGATTGGATTACTCAATATGACCTCTTCCGTCACCTTGACTTGATAATCCACAATAATTGAGGGATTGAGGAGGATGTTGCCCATAGAATTAGAACAAGATGGGAAAAAATGAAAAAGTAAATCTAGAGTTATGTGATAGGAAAATGCCATTAAGGCTAAAAAATTATAAAATGGTTGCAAGGCCAGCAACATTATATGGTATGTTGGGAAATCAAGAAATGTGTCCAAAAAATAAGTGTCGCATAAATGCAAATGGTGAGATGGATGAGTCCAAAACTAGAAAGGACATGCTCAAAAATGAATTTATCCAAAGGAACCTAAGAGTAGGTCCGCTAGGTGATAGAGTAAAGGGAAGTAAACTAAGATAGTTTGATCACATGTGGAAGACCATCTACAACACCTGTAATAAGTGATTTTTTACAAGTTGTAGGGGCCAGAAGAACTAGGGTCCGACAAAAAGGACAAGGGTTGAAGTAGTAAGAAATGATTTAAGAGATCATAATCTAACAATGTATATGTTGTGTGCTTGACCAATAATACGCCAAAAGCCTTAAGACTAAAAGGAATGCATCAAGCCAAGCACTTTAACCATTTAGGACCGTAACATACCACCACACTTCCATAGCTGACATCTCAGCGGCTTCACTCTAGGCAGCTCTCACTCTAGCAATAGGTAGCCCTCTTCATGATGGCTCTTACTCTGGCGGTAGGTAGCCCTTTCCAGTTTCCACAACAGCTCACACTCTAGTGGCAGGAAGCCCTTTCCCTTTGGCAGCTTTCACTCTGCTCTAGGTAGCCCTTTCCGTGACAGCTTTCACTCTACTCCAGGTAGGCCTTTCCATGACAGCTTTCACTCTACTCTAGGTAGCCCTTCTCCCAAGTAGACCTCTCTGTGATTCAAACTTGAGACGTGGTGGTAGGCTTTGATGCCAAATGTTGTGTGCTTGACCAATACACCAAAAGCCTTAAGATTGATGGAACACATCAAGCCAAGCACTTTAACCATTTAGAACACTATGGCACTGATAGAACAGAATCGCAAAATGGGATTCATGTAGCTAACCCCTTATAGTTGGGACAAGGCTTAGATGATGATGATGATGATGATATTATATTTCAGGCGAAGCTCAGGTTGGGTTAGGTTAAGCTCGGGCCAGTCTTGAGCTACCTAAGGCCTCAATCCAAGCCCATCCCAAGGCATACCCATGCAAAAGGTTGGGTTAAGTTGGGCCAGGCTTGAGTTGATCCCAGCGAAGTTGCATTTGAAGTGTTACTACCAGTTGATTCATGGTGGTCCAAGTCATTTGCAAGATGGAGATCATGCTTACTATTGATTTAGTGGACTTTTTGTTTTTGGAGGTGGGAAGCTTGAGAAGAAACGTCCATCCATATTTTATTTGATTGAATTCCAAAGGTTTGCAATAGAGTTACAATTATAATCATTTAATTTCCCAGTAGACATTAGATTTGGGAAT